TTACAGGCGTGTGCCACCACGTCCGGCCAAGGGCACCCTATCTCAAAATTTAAAAATTTAACAAGGGGTGGGAATGTAGCCGGGTGTGGTGGCGCATGCCTATAATCCCAGCACTCGGGAGGCTGAGGCAGGAGGATCACCGCGAGTTCGAGGCCAGCCTAGGCTACAAAGTGAGCTCAAGGCCAGCCTGAACTGCATAGTGAGGCCTTGTCTAAAAAAGACAAAACAAAACAAAATAAATGAAAAAGGGGTGGGAATGTAAATGCAAAGGTCCAAATTCAGTACCCCCCAAAAAAGGAGAGTATAGCTCAGTGATAAGAGCGCTTGCCTGCTTTGTGTGATGCTCTGGTTTAATTCCCAGGAACATGGGGGAGTGTGTGTGGGGGAAGGGATGACTGATGCATACTGAACATGAACTTTGAAAACATCACGCTAAATGAAAAGTCAAAACAAATCACAAAAAACCCTATTCTATTCCACATCTATTAAGTACCCCAAATAGACAAATCTGCAAAGACCAAAAGTACGTTGTTTGTTTTAAGGGTAGGGTGGGAGATGTAAAGACAAGGTGTTACCAAAGGTCATATGGTCTATTTTAGCTGTTGTAAAATACATAGGTCATCTTAATGACTTCTTGCTTTGTTTTGGGCAAGGGTGATGCTATGTAGCCTAGGCTGTCCTCAAATCTGAGATCCTCTTGCCTCAGCCTTCCCTACTGCTGGTATTATAGGTGTGGTATCCACACCTTACTCATTTTCACTACTTTTATGTGTACATAGCTCAATAGGGTTAGGTACAAATATATGATTGTGAAACCAATCTTAGAGTTTTATAGCTTTATATTTAGCTCTTTGGTCCATATTGAGTTAATTTTTGTATGTGGTATAAGGTGTCTAATTTTATTCTTTTTTTCCCCTTCAGTGATGGGGATTGAGCTCAGGGCCTTGAACATGTAGGGAAGCACTTTGTCATTTAGCTACACTCCAGCGCACAATTTCATTCTTTTGTATGTGGATATCCAGTTTTCCGAGCACCATTTGTTGAAAAGCAGTTTTTTTGAAGATGAGTCTAAAATTAATTGTGAGCTGGGCGTGGTGGCGCATGCCTGTAACCCTAGCACTCTGGAGACTGAGGCAGGAGGATCATTGTGAGTTTGAGACCAGCCTGGGCTACAAAAGTGAGCTCAAGGCCAGCCTGAACTGCATAGCAAGACCCTGTGTCAAATAGACAACAAATAAAAAAAAATTATGATAGTTGTATGCATCTTAAATATATTAGAAAGCATTCAATCATGCATATTAAATGTATATTTTACTATATATGAATTATACTTAGATAAATCTCAATAAAGGAGAAAGTAGTTTTTTGACTCAGGCTTTGTGATAAGGCTAGTGCTGCTGGCAATTATACTTCAAAAATAACTGCATTAGTTTACAGGCATGACAGTTTCCTGAGGAACCTCAGAATAGTTGAGTTTTTGGAGGGAGGGTATGCTGGCGATTCAATCTATGGCCTTGTGCATGCCATGCATGTGCTCTACCAGTGAAATACACTTCCAATCCCCAAATAGTTGTTTTCTTTTATTATCCTTCAGAATCAAAAGGGTAAGCAGTGGTTTTACTTGGTTTTTGTACATTTTAATTTAAAATTTTTTTTTTGCTGTATGAACTCCAGGGCCTTTGCACTGAGCTACATCCCTTCTAATTTTTTAAATTTTGAGACAAGACAGTGGCCCAGGCTAGGCTGGAACTGGCTATCCTCCTGCCTTGGCCTCCTCGAGTGCTGAGATTAAGGCATGTGACACTATCAGCTCATGACGTTTTCTAATCTTTTTTGTTTAAGTTCATGTTCCTAGACAGAGATTTGTTTGGTTTATCTTTTGAATACATGGTACTTTTTTTTGTTGGGGGGGGTACTGGTACTCAAACTCAGGACCTTGCGCTTGCCAGGCAGGCACTTGTGACCCTGAGCTATATCCCCAGCCCACATACTCTTCACTTAATAAATGGCCACTATTTACAAAAGGTTTCAAATAATAAACTTTTTCTTGTCTTTTTGAGACAAGGTCTCGCTATGCAGTTCAGGCTGGCCTTGAACTCACAAGGATCTTCCTGCCTCAGCCTCCTGAGTACTGGAATTACAGGTGTGCACCACCATGCCCAGCGATTTACTTTAATAGTGCAAAAAATGTTTTCTAATCAGTGAAAAACTTACGAAAAATTTAAGTACTTTAAGAAAGAAAAACACAAATACCTACATAAACACTACAATTATTGACTTACAACTCAAGACATTAGGGACCATCACTATAAGCCAAATCATTCTTTGAGTAGGTTGTTCCAGTCCCCAAAATGTATAAAAAATGCCCTCTAATTCTTAGGTATACAGAAAAATTATGAAACTCTAATAAGAAAGCTAATTTGTGGTGCATCCCTATAAACCCCAGCACTCCAGAGATAAAGGCAGGAGGATTCCTGCAAGTTTGAGGCCAGCTTCAGCTATCTAGTGATTTCAAGGCCAGGCTGGACTACTTAGCCAGACCCTGTTCAAAACAAACAAGCAAACAAACAATTAAAGTTTCATGGGAAACAAACCACACCATACTAATAGCTTTAGAAATTTTTTAAAGGAGTTAATAGAAATAAACACCAAAGTCTTGATTTTTATGCCAAAGGAGTTTCATGCTGACTTTTGAAGCTTAAAGACGAAGCTATCTTTTTATATATGTCAGAAATAAAAACCAAGAAAGATAACATTTATGGGATCCATTCAACTTTAATCTGATCCTACAGTAAAAAGGGAAATTTTATTTATTTGTTTTTGAGACGGTCTCGCTCTGCAGTTCAGGCTGGCCTTGAGCTCACTTTGTAGCCCAGGCTGCCTCAGCCTCCTGAGTGCTGGGATTACAGGTGTCACCAACATGCCTGGCAAAAAGGGAAATTTTAAAACACATTTAAACTTCCAACTCAGAGCTGGATGTAGTGGTGCACGCTTGTAATTCCAGCACTCAGGAGGCAGAAGCAGGCAGATCACCAGGAGTTCAAGACCAGCCTGGGCTACATAGCAAGATCTTCTCTCAAAAATGCAAAAACAAACAAAAAAAATCAAATATATTTTGGTTTAAGATTAAATAGAAACAAATACCATAATTATGACTCTTATTTGCATCAAAGTGTTTTCATATCTGCCTAATAATCAATGGATATACTGTTTTTTTTTTGGTCTTTTTGAGACAGAGTCTCACTATGCAATTCAGGCTGGCCTTGAGCTCACTTTGTAGCCCCGGTTGGTCTCAAACTCGCAACACTCCTCCTGCCTCAGCCTCTGGAGTGCTGAGATTACAGGCGTGTGCCACTATGCCCGGCATGCTAAGTTTTTTTGTATGAGGAGAGTGTGGTTTTAGGAACCAAAACCTGTAGTAACTTTATTATTGCCATAAACTAGTGTTTTGGAGGAGATATTGTTTGAAATGTTATTTAATAAAAGAAGATTGAGAATCTTGCTGTAAAGCAGTCCTTCAGAAAGATGAAAACTTAGGAAAAGGCATATTTTGTACTTCACAAACATGAAAATATTAATGTATGCACTGATGTATAATGAATTAATTTTGCCAAGAAACTACTTATCAAGAAAACATTGACAGCCGGGCATGGTGGTGCACGCACTCGGGGAAGCTGAGACAGGAAGACTGGTGTGAGTTTGAGGCCAGCCTGGGGTACAAAGTGAGCTTAAGGACAGCCTGAACTGCATAGCGAGACCCTGTCTCAAAAAGACAAAAAAAAAAAAAAAAAAGGAAAACATTGACAGTATAGACTAGAAAAGACAAGGCCCTCAAGAAATGATGACAACTATTCCAATAGGTGTTGTTTTCCAAAATTTTATTTATCTGAAACAGCAGTTCTGAAATGGACAAAAAAGATGAGTAGTTTGTACATAGGTTTCTTTTTGTTGTTACTGAGATAGGCTCTTGCTAAGTTGTCTTGAACTCATGGGCTTGTATGATCCTTCCATCTCAGCTTCCCTCCTAACTGGGATTATAGACACGCAACAAGATTATAGACAACTGGGATTATAGATAGCACCTGACAGATACATTTCTACTCCAGAAATATCTGCTAGGCAGAACTCAGGGTACTTAAAAATATCATAGATCTATATATGGAAAAATGGTTAATGTGTTTGTTGGTGACAACATCTCTTATACTTAAAAATTACTCCTTAGGCGTTGTACTAAGCAGAAAGCACAATTTTAGTCAGAGGAGATTTTCCCTAAGGCTCTTACTACTTACTTAACCTTGGGTGTACAGAGATGAGCCAGTTGGTAGAAAGCTAATTGAGACCATTCATCAGCCCTGACTATACATTTAAAAATTAACCTATAAATTAACTGTAACATCATCAGAGGAACTTTACTAGGCTTCTCTGATCTAAAGACAAACAGCAATGGAGACTCTGACATAATATCCCAAGTGTGTGCACTCTTGTTTGTTAGAGCTGTGGTTCATGAGTCTAGGGGTAGAAGTGGCAGTCCTGAAGTAGATCTCGGGAAATTTGCTTGACTACATTCTTCAAATAGTTGTCTTCTAATGGCACCTTAGATATAATGGATGCAATTTCATCTTGGCTGGAAAGAAGAAAAAGTTAATTAATTTTTCTGGAAACTTATACTTGTCTCTAGTTCGCTGCTACTCATGTTCTTGGATACAGTGTCTCAGTTTCCTAGAAGGCACAAAAGGACATTTCTGGACATAAGCCGACTGTCCATTTGAAACGGGACTTCAGAATATGCTGAGAACTAATTCTGTATGCAACTGTAAGGTAGCGTGAGCCAGTTGCTTTCTTTAGCTATAAAATTCTAATTGTTGGGGCTGGGGATTTAGCTCAGCAGCAAAGCGCCTGCCTGGCAAGCGCAAGGTCGTGAGTTCGGTTCCCGGTGCCGGAGAAAAACAAAAAAAACAAAACAACAACAACAACAAAAAAATTTCTAATTGTTGGTACTTGCTGATGGATTTAAGGTGGGCTTTCCTAAACTCTGCCATCTCCCAGTCTGTCAGCAGTGGATTTAAAAAGTCATAAAACAGATCACAACCTATTAAGAATGAGACATTTATAGGTCTGATTTCACAAACTAATTGAAAAAATGTATTACCAATATTCCATTTTATTTATTTATTTGATTTTATTTTATTTTGTCTTTTTGAGACAGGATCTTGCTATGCAGTTCAGGTTGGCCTTGAGCTCACTTTGTAGCCCAGGCTGGTCTCGAACTCACAAAATGATCCTCCTGCCTCAACCTCCCAAGTGCTACGATTACAGACGTGTACCACCACACCTGGTTCCATCTTAATTTAATGCCACAAAATTGTTTCCCTATGATCTGAGCTAAGTTTACATAGAATTTTCTCCTTCTTGATTCCTGTTTTAAGTGTAAGTGAATTAAAAAAGTGAAGTACGTACAATAGAACAGATTCTCAGCTGGACATGGTGGCAAACGCCTGTAATCCCAGCACCTGGGAGGCTGAGGCAAGGGGATCACCATGAGTTTAAGGCCAGCCTGGACTACAAAGTGAGTTCAAGACTGTTATGGTTGATGCACTGTGTCAACTTGAGAAGTTTAGAAGTTTAAGTAAGCCAATCAGCAGGGATCCAGGTCCTTGTTTTGTGAACATCCTCATCCTGTGCAAGAGGAGGGCATGGAGATTGTGTGAGTGCTATACCTGCCCTAGGGGTGGGGGGCAGGATAGCCTGTTTACAGTATAAGGGAGGAAAAGAGGCTTGTTCTCCCCAACTTTTGCTGTCTTCTGCTGCCTTGGACTGTTGTCTCTGTGCCATGTCACTCTGCCTTGATGTCAGCTAATCATTGACTGAAACCTCCATAAACTATGAGCCAAATAAACCTTTCCTTCCTTAATTTTGGGTGTCGGAAATTTTGTCTCAGCAACAAGAGAAAAGTAACCAAGACAAAGGCCAATCTGAACTACATAGCAAGACTGTCTCAAAAACCAAAAAAAACCCCAAATAAACCAAAACAAAAGGGAAGTGACATTTAGCTCTCACTACCCATTTGCTGACCACTTGAAGGGATCTTTCAAATGAAATAGCAAATGTGAAAAAGTAGCCTATTTTATCCTGCTGGTCCTTACTTACCCAGTGTTCCCAAGGTGATTTTCAATGGTAAAAGGTAATGGGACCAATGGATAATGGGCAGAGAGAGACAAAGTTATCTCAAACTTTGCAAATGCTACAGAGCTGGAAAACAAAAGCTTCAATCTGTAAAAGACAAGATCCACAATTAACGACATAAAACAACAAAAAAGATTTAAACAAAAACTCATTTTCCTTTTCATTGGCATCTGAAACTTGGTATACATTATTTCTTGTCCTTATCAAGTGGAACAGAAATGGATATACTGTTTTTTTTTGTCTTTTTGAGACAGGGTCTTGCTATGCAGTTCAGGCTGGCCTTGAGCTCACTTTGTAGCCCAGGCTGGTCTCGAACTCACAATGATCCTCCTGCCTCAGGCTCCCCAGTGCTGGGATTATAGGCATGCGCCACCACACCCGACAATACGTTTATCTTGTTTTACCCAGTTCGTAATACTTTGTTATCACTGCCCCAAGTAACTAACACACTTACTCAGTATCATTCACATATATGTCCATTAGGTTATAATTTGGTCCCCATCTCTTTAAAAATTCAATCTCTTCTCCAAGGAGTCTACAATGGCTCACCACTAGTGAAAGTTCCTGAAGCATCTAAAAAAAATAGATGTGAGGGATGAGGAATTACAAAAACACACTTCAGTGTTTAATGGCTCTGTAATAATGAACCACCAAAAATTAAACAATTAAATATATATGTCATCTTAGGATACTTTTATATGCACAGAATTTCAGTTCTGTTTTTTTGGGACAGAGGCACAAATTTTCCTTTGAAAACTTCAATCAGACTTTACCTTGGGTATCTCATGCTGTGTTGTACATTTCTTCTTCCAGGATTCTTGTTCCTCAATGTATTGGAAAATGAGCTTATGAACCAAAAGAGAGGAAGAAGGAGCTTTATCCCCTGGGAAAGAAAAAAAAAGTCCAAAGGCGAGTATTATTTTTCTTTCTTTCTTTCTTTTTTTTTGTCTTTTTGAGACAGGGTCTCGCTATGTAGTTCAAGCCAGCCTTGAGCTCACTTTGTAGCCCAGGCTGGTCTCGAATTTGCAACAATCCTCCTGCTTCAGCCTCCCGAGTGCTGGAATTACAGGCATGCACCACTATACCTGTCTCTATTCATATATTTTATATAAGTTAAAAATACTACATTACCTAAGCAAGACATACCCTCAAACTATTAGGTGACAAAGTATACTCTTCATGTTTATTTTCAAACACAATTCTATATGGTATACAAGACATCCCTACAAAAACTCAAGCCTTTATCATGACACAATAGTTTTATAAATTTTTATTTTTTATTAATATATGTTTACAGTACATAATGATCACACTGATCATGGGGAGTTGGTACATGTACACAACGTATCTTCATTCTTTTTTTTCTCCTTTCCCACTTTATCCCTCTTTATCCCATGGTCTCCCTGTGTAGTTCAGGCTGGCTTTGAACTCACTACTGGTATGCAACCAAGACTGGCCTTGAACTTAAAGTGATCCTCCTGCCTCAGCTGCCTGAGTACTGGGATTACAGGTGTGCCACCATATCTGGCCTCACATACAGAATAGAACTATTAAAAGCACAGGTTTATGACTGGGACTGTATCCCAGTGGTAGAAGGCTCACCTAACATGTACAGAGCTCTGGGGTCAATCCCCAGCGTCACAAAGAACAAGCATGGGTTTAAATACAACATATACCTGAATTCAAATCCTGACTTTTTAAAAAAACCTTTTTCTTTCTTTTTTTCTTTGCTTTCCTTTTCTCTTCTCTTTTCTTTCTCTCTCTCTCTCTCCCTCCCTCCCTCCTTCTCCTTCCTTCCTTCCTCCCTCCCTCCCTCCCTCCCTCCCTCCCTTCCTTCCTCCCTCCCTTTCTTTCTTTTTGAGGCAGGGTCTCGCTATGTAGTTCAGGCTGGACTTGAACTTACTACGCAGCCTTTGTAGCCAGGCTGACCTCAAACTCAAGGTGATTCTTCTACCTAAGTTTCCTGAGTGATGGGATTACATGAGTGTGCCACCACACCTGGCTTTTTTAATTACTTAAATTTTTTGATCTGTAGTTTCCTAACTTGTAAAATGGGAAATAATACCTCAGCATAATAATACACATGCTTGCCAGTTGTGGTGGCACATACCTGTAATCCCACACTTGGGAGGCTGAGGCAGAAATATTGCCACATGTTTGAGGCCAGCTTGGACTACAGGTGAGTTCAAGATCAGCCTCCACTACAGAGCAAAACTCTATCTCAAAAAACTAAAAATACAAAACAAAAATACCCATGTCTGATATAGACTAGGTATTCATAGTGGTAATTTTCAAACTAGGGAATAGCTATTATCAGTCGCTGCTCAAAACCTAATAATAAGTAACTTCTGGCTCAGTGTGGTGGCTCATGCCTATAATTCCAGCACTTGAGAGGCAGAGGCAGGAATGCCAGAATTTGAGGCTAGCCTGGGCAACATAGTGAGTTCAAAATCAGTCTGAATTACAGAGTGAGACCCTGTCTCAAAGAAAAAAAAACAACAGAAATTTCTTTTAAAATCCATCCAATAAGCTGGGTATAGTGGTGTATGCCTGTAATCCCAGCACGCAAGATGCAGAGGCAGAAGGATCACTGAGTTTCACACCAGCTTGGGCTACATAGTGAGAACCTGTCTTGGAAGAAAAGAAAGAAAAAAGAAGGAAGGGAGGGAAAAAGGTAGGGAGGAAATTCAATATTTAGAACATTACCCAAGCAGATTTATATCCAATAAATATTTTAAGGACAAATTATTGTTGTTGTTTATAGTTAACTTAGAATGTAAAAGAATTACCAAGAAACAATTTTTAAATTTTTTATCAACCTATTAATCTGCCTATCTCTCTCTCTCTCTTTCTCTCTCTGTATCTATCTATCTATCTATCTATCTATCTATCTATCTGTCTGTCTGTCTGTCTGTCATGTATCTGTGCTGGCAGTGACACAAAGCCCTTTTGCCTGCTAGGCAAGCACCCTGTCATTGAACTATGCCCCCAGCCCAGAAAGTATAATTTTAAAGTATCAATAATCCTCCATCAGATCAAAGTTAGGATCTTTGATAACAAGACTGCCATGAAACAACTACCATAATGTGTGAGCCCCATCAGTGCAGCGTCCTGGGGATTTCTGAACAAAACAGATAAAGAGTATCAACTCAGCACAACTCAGCACACCTGGAAGAGCCCTGATAATGTGTGTCTTTCTGAACCTATTTCTTTCTTTTTCTTTTTTTTTTTTTTGTCTCTTAAGGTCTCTCTATGCAGTTCAGGCTGGCCTTGAGCTCACTTTGTAGCCTAGGCTGGTCTCGAACCCACAACAATCCTCCTGCCTCAGCCTTCCGAGTGCTAGGATTATAGGCATGTGTCACCATGCCCGGCTTTTGATCCTATTTCTGATTATTTGAGTTTTCCAGCATTCAAAGCACCATCTAACACTCACTTAAATGAGTAAATTGAGAATGATAGCTAATTTAGGAATTCTTATATCAAATTGTGTCATTTAAAAGATGGCTGGGAAGCTCAATATAGCTACTTCTGGTCCATGCTCAGTTACGAGGACAACAATGAACTCAGAACTGAATTTTAGGGGCTTGGAGGCCTGAATTTATAGACTAACTAGGTTGGCCACATCCTAATAATTAACGATTCTGATTCTGATCACAGGCAAGCAGATGATCTTACCTGAAATATTTTCTTTTCTTACAATGCAGACATGGTTTACAAATTAGGATTAGGTGACAAGAGTACTGGGAAACTCTCAGACAATTCTGTTCACTCTGCAAATCAAATTAATTTGTATCATCCTCCATAAGAACACAGAAAAAATAACACATGCGTTCAATAAAATAAAGGTTTAAATTAAAAATAATTTTGGTAAACAGCATTTTATGGTATACTGATGCTCAAAAACTAAAATTACGCCAGGTGTGGTAGTACATGCCTGTAATCCCACTATTCGGGAGGCTGAGGCAGGCAGATTGTTGCAAGTTCCAAGACAAACCTGGGCTACAAAGTGAATTCAAGGCCAGCCTGAACTGCATAGTGAGACTCTGTCTCAGAAAGACCAAAACCAAACCAAAACAACAACAACAAAAAAACCCAAAACTAAAATTACTGCTGGGTACAGTGGTACAGGCCTTAATTTAGCTACTCAGGAGGGTGAGGCAGAAGGATCATGAGCTTGAGCCTAGCCTGGGCAACACAGCAAGACCCTCTCTTTTTTTTGGCACTAGGAATTGAACTCAGGACCTTCTGCTCGCCAGGCAGGTCCTGTGCCACTGAGCTATATTGCTAGCTCAAGACCTCCGTTTTAAAATTAATTAATCAAAACTACAGAGAAATGGAGAAAATAAAAAAAGGAAAAAATGAGCAGACTGAAAGCATATTTATATAATATTAGGCATATAATATAATATTAACAGGTATCTCTAAGTGGTAGAGCCACTTTTTGGTAATTTTGCAATCACATCTTGAACAGAATTTTCTTTTCTTTTTTCTTTCTGAGACAGGGTTTCACTATGCAGTTCAGGCTGACCTTGAACACGTTTTGTAGCCCAGGCTGGCCTCAAACTCGCAGTGGTCCTTCTGCCTCAGCCTCCTGAATGCTGGGACCACAGGTGTGCACCATTATGCCCGGCTTGAGTAGAATTTTCTTAGAATATGTGTTTTATTGTCACAGTGATAAAAACAAAGAAAGAAATGCTCTAACACTTAAATTTCTTTTGCTAATAAAAACTAAAAAGTTATACTTATCAAGATACTATTTCACAAAGTAAATACTATATACAAAATTAATCTTTGTAACAAAATCTTTGCATCATTGTTTCAAAAACAGAATGCATCTTTTGAATATTATTCCTATAGCCAACAGGGCTGCACCCCTGCTGATGGACTGTTCTGTGGCAGGGAATAGCTCTGAAGAGCAGCTGATCATCTTCACATGCAGGGAAAATGCAAACCCACTATCTTGGTTAGTTTTCTCTCATTGCTGAGAAAAATTTTTTTTTTTTTTTTTTTTGAGAAAAAATACTTGATACCCAAAATTAAGGAAGGAAAGGTTTATTTAGCTTTCAGTTTGTGGAGGTTTCAGTCCATACTTGGCTGGATCCAAGGCAAAGTGGCACATGGCAGAGGACAACAGTTCATGGCAGAGGAAGACAGCAAAAGCAGCAAGAGCAAAAGGGGGGAATGGTGGCAAGCAGGCTCTTTCCCTCCCTTACACTGGCATGCAAACTACCTACCCCAGGGCAGTGTAGTACTCAGATCCATGAATCAATCATTAAGTCTAAATGTTGGCCCCATGACTGCATGAGGATTTGGGGAGATAAGCAGACACAAATCGTAACATTTCACCCCTGGTCCCCGCAAAGACTCATGCACATCCCATTTTCAAAAGACATTTTAGTCCAGCTCTAAGAGTTGCTAAAATCCTAACAGTTTCAGCATTGCTGAAAAGTCCAAGTCCAAAGTCTCCTCTGAGATGTAAGGCACTCTCCCAGCTGTGAACCCCTGTAGAAATGAAAAGTTAAACACTTCCAACATTTAATGGCATAAAATAAACATTACCAATCCAAAAGGTACAAACAGGGAGATACAGAGCATTGGGACCAGAGCAAGTTCAACATCTACCAGGGCAAACATTAAGTCCTGTAATTCCACATCCAGCATCTGAAGCAATTTGTGGCAAATTGTGAGCTCCAAAGGGCTTGCATGAGTCCAGCCCTACGGCACTTCCAGTGGTTACAGCTCCCACAGCTTCTCTCTTGGGCCCACTTTGCTCCCTCCTTGCAGCTTTTCTCAGACAATCCATGTTCCTGGCTTTTCCAAACTGCGGACTCCAGTGCACCTTATGCTTCACATTCACAGCTTCACATACTGTTCTCTCAGGGGCACACTGCCTGGCCTCCCAGGCCTTCTGAAATCGAGGTGGAAGCCCTCTTAACCTCAGAATTCTTGCATTCTGCATGCATAAAACCAGTGCCATGTGGATGATGCCAAGGTCTGCTGCCACCTGGAGCAGTAGCCAAGCTTTCCTCTCTCTTGGCCATAGGGGTTGAGTGCCTAGATTGCTGGGCCCTCTGAATCCAATTCTGAGGAGCAAATTCTTTTTGCTGCCGCAACTCTGGAACCTGGTGCAGCTGCTGCCACCATTCTGGAACATGGCGTTCTGCAGCTTTCTCCTCAAAGCAAAGTCTTCACCTTTGCAGTTTTGAGACTGCAAAGGGTGGAGCCTTGCTGCTTCTTGTGATGCCCTCAGGCCATCTTTCTATTCTCCTGTTCCTCCTCATCAATGGAGTTCTCCTCAGATTTATCTTTGCAGTCCACAGCTTTACTGGAGCTTCCTTTCTGGCCAAGCTCACATTTTAAATCATCGTGATGGGTTCTTTGCTCTTGATTCTCAACGTAAATCTGGCTAAAACCCCCCAACAATAGCCATGCCACTGCCTCAACATTCAACTGCCTTAAAATTTTTTTTGCCAGATCAGTTAGTCTATTGCCCTTAATCTCAGTCTTAGGCAAAGTCTCTGGACACAAGCAAAATACAGACAAACTTTCTGCCAAGACATAACACACATCATCTGGAGTCCAAGAACCAATGCAATCTTTTTTCCCAGCAGAAACCTCCTGAACCCAGTCTTTACTGGCAGGATTTCTATCAGGCTTCTGGTCTTCTGAGCTCTGACCAGAATCTCCAATACGGATCAGCCAAAGGCGCTTTAGTGCTTCTCTTTCAGGCTACATTCCTGAACCTTTCCAAACTCTTCCCACAAGCCATTTCCAAAGGCTCTTGAATCACATGGTCAGGTACAGTCACAGCAAGACCCCACTTTCTGGTACCAAATTCTGTCTTCGTTAGTTTTCTCTCATTGCTGAGACAAAATATCTGATGCCCCAAATTAGGGAAGGAAAGGTTTATTTAGCTTACAGTTTGTGGAGGTTTCAGTCCATACTTGGCTGGATCCATGGCAAAGCGGCACATGGCAGAGGACAACAGTTCATGGCAGAGGAAGATAGCAAAAGCAGCAAGAGCATAACGGGGGAGTGGAGGCAAGCAGCCGCTTTCCTTCCCTTACACTGGTATGCAAACCACCTGCTCCAAGGTGGTGTAGCACTCACACCCATGAATCAATCATAAAGTCTAAAAGCTGGCCCCACAACTGCATGAGGATTTGGGGGGATAAGCAGACAGAAAACATAACACCCACATACAATGCCACATTAACACTTAACTTGGGAGAAGGAGCCTGGGAAAAGTATACATTTTTCAAACCACAGTAACAAACCATGCATCTACAAAACGGTTCCTCAAACACCACACCTGTTTTTCATCAGCTTCAGCTCTCATTTGTGAGTAGCTTCTTCTGGCAGCTGCTGGGGACTGTGCAAAGTTCTGGGTGAGGCAGCCAACACCACACCCTGGGACAAAGCAGTAGCAGGAGCCCTGATCTGGTAAGCTGGCATGTCACCTGTGGCCACCATCATGTGGGGCAAGTTCAGTTTCCTCATCTTGAACAACAACCTGGCTGCCTGGGACAAAGAACTGCTGTGTGCCATCAGCTGTCTGCACTGCATACTGTACAACTGTAGCACCTGGAGTAGGAGCGCCTGAATTTGTCAACGTTAATGCCTGCAGTCCTGAACGTCTTCAGATCCCAGGTTAGAAATCTGGATTGCTCCGCCTTGGGCTATAGCAACCAGTACTCCAGATCCACACCTCTCATAGCCCCTCAGTGCTTACATGGAGATCTAATGCTGAGCCCCTTGCTGGGAGCCTGCACCAAGAGCACAAGGAATAAAGGCACAGCAGCTGGCTACCAAGAAACAATTTATGACCATAAATTACCAATACTTTTAGGGGCTTAAACGTTTTGAACTTACCATCTAACAAAGATTGAAAACTCAGGTCAGCAATCTTCCTGTCAGCCTTTTCCAGGAAAGGAACACCAACTAAGAACCAAAAAAAGAATAGTTACTATCTTTTTACTATCTGATTCTAAGTGACATAAAACTCTATAATTTCAAATCTTACATTCCGGTATCAAGGTTTCTTCATGACAATTGAAAGTTTATCCTTGAATCACATTTTTCACTATAAATGGTAGACTGCCCCAAGGCTGCTCAACTATAAATAAATAAATAAATAAATATATATATATATATATACACACACACACATATATGTGTGTATATATATATACATATATATATATAGAGAGAGAGAGAGAGAGAGAGGTTTTTTTTGAGACTGGGTCTTCTATGTAGTTCAGGCTGGCCTTAAACTCCTTATGTAGCCCAGGATGGCCTAAAACTCACGGCAATCCTCCTGCCTCAGCCTCCTGAGTGCTGGCATTACAGTTGTGTGCCACCACACCCAGCTTGCTCAATATATTGATTGGTAGGCCCCTGAAGGATCTTTAAAGTGTAAAACACAGCTACATCTGTTAAGGCTTCTTCCTTTGACCCCTAATTTCTGTTAAGTAATTTTTTTCAGGAAGGGCTATCATTTTCCCACACCTATCCCTGAGTAAATACAGTAAAAATAATCAATGTCTTAGCGTTGTTCTGATGAATTACAGATAGCCAGGATAGCTGCTCACCCCTCTGGACTCTAGAGCTGCCTTCAGTCTCTCAAATTCTGATTCTTTCCACTTTGTTGAATGGTTTGTTGCTTTGCTTTTTACTTTTTTCTTTTTTTTATTTTAAAGAGAAAAGAACAAAAACAAAATAACAAAAACAAAACACAAAAACTATAAAAATGATATAGAATTTCCAAACAAGATGATAGGAAATCAACAATGGTTGTTGTATTACTTATTGTATCTGGCTCAGATTACCAGGTATAGGTATGCAAGACTGATCAAACAATTAAGCATTAATTGTTCCTTTCAAGGAACCAATAGAAATTATCTTAGCTATCTATCTTGTGTATATATACATATATCTTTTTCCTTCTTTCTTTCATTTCTCCTTTCCCTCATCCTAGTTGTTCTTTCCTATTGAGCAGTGTCTTTCCCTTTCACAATATCTATTGTGCCTTTTAGATTTTATTTAGGCTTTCAGGGCACAATCTGTCACAGTAAAATCTTGGAAACAGCCCAAATGTCTGACTAAGGAGTGGATAAAAAAGATGTGGTATTCTTTTACAATGGAGTATTACTTAGCTATAAAGAAAGAAACTCGAGGCTTTTATAGGTAAATGGATACAACTAGAGACCATACTCATAAGTGAAATAGATCAGACCTGCATGTGTAAATACTTTTTTTCTTTTAAAAGATTTATTTATTTATTTATTTGGGGTTATTTTTTCAGACTGGGTCTCACTATGTAGCCAAGGGTAGCCTCGAACTCACAGTGATCTTCCTGCCTCAGTCTTTCAAATATTGGGATTATAGGTGTGTGATATCACAAAACAATTTTTTTTGCGGGGGGGGGGGCAGTTTTCCGGTACCAGGAATCGAACTCACAACCTCATGCTTGCCAGGCAGGCACTCTGCCGCTGAGCTAAATCCTCAGCCCCTACAATTTTATTTTTAAGGGTGACATTTATCCCCTTTTCACAGTAAAAGCACGTGAAAGAGAATGATTTTAACAATTAGTGAAAAAAGTACAAATCTGGGTCTCAGCCATTGAAAGTTATTTACAACAATGGGAGAAATGTACAGAGAAGGCGATACAAGATGAGGCAAGATAAAAAAGAAAAAACTCAGTACACTTAAGGGTTTACAGGCTACGTAAGACATTTTGATCATTAGCCTAAAATAACAATATAGATCAGATTTTCAACAGTTACTACAGCTATAGGGAGGAGAGGGAAAAGATCCAGAAAGATCAGTTGAAATGTAATTGCAATGTAACTGAATCAGTGGAGTTAGAGAAAAGTGGACAAATATTAAGAAATTAAAACCAGTTTGTCTTAGCTGGGTGTAGTGACTCACGCCTGTAATTACAAGCACTTGGAAGGTGGAGGGAAGAGGATCGAGGCCAGCCAGGGCTAACTCAGCAAAGTCAATGCCAGCCATGACTACTATAATGAGATCCTGCCTCAAAAAACCAAACCCAAGCAAAACACAACAAATATAGATACATCTTATTGATGATTTGGACATGTATAGTGCCCAAATAGATGCAGAAGAAATAGAGAAGGAAATGCAGGCTATTCCTTAATTTTGGATCTGGAGAGAAGGTGATTTTCATTGAGAAAAGGAATGTTTGAGAAAAGGAATGCTTTAGAAGAATAAGGTTGAGAGGCTGAAAGACTGAAGTTCCTATGGCCATGTCCAAACTGACAAGTTAGAGAAGAGACTAAAAAACTGCTAGGACTCTGTCCAGTCTTTTGATAGTAATTCTACCTACCTAAATGAACACAGTATAGGGGACTGAACTTGGGCCCTGTGCATATGAGGCAAGCATGCTACCACTGAGCTATATCACCTGTCCAGAGCTGCAGTATAAAACTCCCAATTAAGAGTCACTGGCCATTAAAGTAAATTCTCTAAAGAGAATTAAAGTAAATTCTCTACAGATAAAGATGGAAAAAAGCAACTCAGAGCATTATTAAGGTAGCAAAATCATTTTGTCCAATATGATTAACAAAGGGCAACTTTCACTAGCTGCATTTTTGTTTTTATTCTCCCCATAAACTCCAGAACTAGGGATTGAACCCAGGATCTCTGCACTGAGATATATATCCCTAGATGTTTAAAAAATTTTTTTTTAAATTTTGAAACAGGGTCTTGCAAAATTGCTAAGATTTGAATTTTTTTTCCTTTTTGTGTGTGTTTTTCTTTTCTTTTTTTTTTTTTGGTCTTTTTGAGATAGGGTCTCGCTATGTAGTTTAGGCTGGTCTTGAGCTCACTTTGTAGCCCAGGCTAGTCTCGAACTCACAACGATCCTCCTGCTTCAGCCTCCCAAGTGCTGGGATTACAGGCATGCGCCACCATACCCGGCCTTTTGTGTGTGTTTTTGAGACAGGGTTTTGCCATGCAGTTGAGGCTGGCCTTGAACTCACTTTGTAGCCGAGGCTGGTCTCAAACTCCCAATGATCCTCCTGCCTCAACCTCCCAAGTGCTGGGATTACAGGCATGCACCAAACATGCCTGGCTAAGATTTGGATATTCATAGAGTCTAACCATTTATTTTTCTTCAGAGGATTATCTTACTTTTGCTACTTACCTACTGGCTCTCCAAAAGTGATGATGAGTTCTATAGTATCATAAACAAAGGTAAATACAGCTTGATCATCACTCCACTCAATGACTTCCCACTCAGACAAACTGAAGAGAGAAACAAAAAGAAAAGCATTCTTTTGCAGTAATTAAATTGAGCTGTACCCCATCCCACCTAAAAGAATTTCTGATACCACCCAAATAGCACCAACAGCAGCTGCTGCTGGATTTGGAGACAATTAACATTCCAATTCAAGTACTGTGCATACACAAGCTATGCTTTTGAAAAAAAAGTAAGAACTCAACTCAATCTTTTTCTTTTTTTTGAGACAGCACCTCACTATGTAGTTCACCTTGACCTTAAACTATGTAGCTGAGGCTTAAACTTGTAGCAATCCTGCTGCCTCAGCCTCCTGAGTGCTGGGATTACAGCCATGTACCACCATGCCCGCAAGAACTCAATCTTCAGTTGTATATCAGAGAAAAAATAAGTTTATACAGTGAAAAGTACTACATTTGTAACAATATTCCTGATAAATGTAAGCATTATGTTTATCAAAAGAGTGCCAATAAAATTTAAAAAAACAAACATCATTCCATAGCTCTCCCACCCTTATATTTTCACCTTGGTGTCAAGTGCATAAACTCTTTTAGAGGCTGTACTGTACCATAGATTAAAAACCTGTATGATATGCTGGGCATAGAGCTGTGCAGCTACAGTCTAGTTACTTGGCTAAGGCAGAAGTGATGGAGCCCAGGAGTTCAAGGGCATACTGGACAACATAGTGAGATCCCATCTCGAAAACAAAACAAACAAACAAACAAACAAAAAACCTCAGGAAACCTATAGGAACACATTAAAAATACATCAGCTGCTCCAGTAGACTCAGATAATCACTAAAGCATAAGATACAATATAAACTAATGACATCTGATTTCCTTACCTCAAATGATCCAGTAGTTCTTCAGTTCTATTTGTTTGTTTTTGCATAAAGTCTATCTGAGCAAGGGTTTGCTCTTTCTGTACTTCCAGTTCTAAGAGCTTTCTGCAAATAAAACCAGGTAGTTATTGAAAGATAAGGTCTTAGCCGGGTGGTAGAACACATCTGTAATCCCAGTACTTGGGAGACTGAGGCAGGAGGATCGTTGGGAGTTCAAGACCATCTTGGGCTACAAAGTGTGCTCAAGGCCAGTCTGAACTGCATAGTGAGACCCTGTCTCAAAAAGACAAAAAAAAAAAAAAAAAAAAAGAAAAAGATGAGGTGTTTGTTAGAGAATTTAGATTATTAATAAAAAGCTTCATGGCAAACGTAAGGTCCTGAGTTCAATTCTCAGTACCAAAAAAATAAATAAATAAATAAATAAAAAGCTTCATTATAAGAAGCCATTTGCTAGATGGTTCCAGTGAAATAATAATATTTTGTTTTGCTAACCATTAATCTAGAAGCAGGTTAATTTAGGAAGGATGTAAATCATTATCTCTCAAATTAGGATAGCTTACAGTATCAGTGGGGTTCCATATTCTTTAAAATAATTATTGGAAATTACTTTTTCATTTCTGATGAAGCATAAAGTAAATAAGGATGCCTACCTTAAAGATCAGATCTATAATAGATTTGTTGCCTACATTTGATTTTATTCAGTTTATTAGAGCTAAATAGAATTTATTAGTTACTTTGCTGCTATCAATTTAATTCCAGTCAAATACTACTACTATTCAAATTAATGTTGTTATAACTAATATGCACCAATTAAAAAAATTAACGTTGTTGACTGGAATTTTATTGGTTTAGTCATGATTTGTATTTAATTTATTTTAGTCCTATAGTTGAACTAATTCATAAGTCTAAGATGTCTCATTTTATACTTGTACTTATCTAAATATAATAGTTTAATGCTTGGTTTAACTTTTTAAAAAAGATCCTGACAGTATTCAAGCTTGAGCAATACCACCTTGGAGCAGAAGCCCTGAGTCAGGCTTAATCATGTGCCGAAACTTGTCTCTAAAGGCAGAGGGTCAGCATCACATTTTTTTTGTGGGTCTGGCATTACATTTTCTAACACTCAGACTGTAGGCTGACCTTTGAAGCTCCTCCTCTTCAGTTTTTAGCTGTTCTAGATCTACAAAAAGAAAACAAAACATAAAAGGATACATTAGAATGTTGTCACAATATATAAACAAACTGAAAGCAGGTGGTCCCCTCAATGTATTTCCTTAACTAATTTGGGTACCTCTCTCTGCAGCTCTCATTTCAGAATCCCATTCTTCCACAGGATTGTCTTTCTCTTCATCCTCCAAATTCTTAGTTTCTAAAGTAGACAGTATGGATTAGAATAACTCAGTTAAAGATACTTTACTAAGAAGCCAGACAGGGGGCTGGGCATGGTGGCACGCGCCTGTAGCCCTAGTACTCAGGAGGCTGGAGCAAGAGGATTGCTATGAGTTTGAGGCCAGCCTGGGCTACAAAGTGAATTCAAGGCCAGCATGAGCTGCATAGTGAAACCCTGTCTCAAGAAAAAGAAAAAAAATTATGAAGCCAGACGTGATGGTGCACACCTGTAATCCCAGCACTCAGGAGGCTGAAGCAGAAGGATCACTGCAAGTTCAAGGCCAGCCTGGGCTACATATTGAGTTCAAGGCCAGCCTGAATTACGGAGCAAGACTCTGTCTCAAAAAAAAAAAAATGAGTGACAAACTGAATAAATATGCCCACAATGAAGTGTTGGGAATATTTCACAAACTTCCATCACACAAACACTTTTAGCGGCAGATTAGTAAACTTTGTATTAGTAAACAACATAGAAGTGATTTCAACTAGCATCTTCTTAAGGGTTACTTTGAGACAGAATCTATTTATATATAATACATTTATTTATTTATTTATTTATTTATTTATTTCCTGGTACCGGGAATCGAACTCACGACCTCATGCTTGCCAGGCAGGCGCTGTGCCGTTGAGCTAAATCCCCAGCCCCTATATAATACATTTATATAATCTATATATCATATATTATTATATATAAACTTATATAATCTAGATAATGTATATATTATATTCATACAATTTATATTTATATGATTTAAACAAATAAAACATATAGATATGAAAGTTACTGTTAGATAACATTCATGGGCTAAGTGGAAACTGATATACATATAATTTAAAATCTCTATTCATATCCAAACCGAGTTTATCCAAGTTTAGATTTTCTTTCAAAAATATCTTTTTCTTCACCATCACCAGCATCCCTTAATATAAGCTTCTGTTCTTCTTTAACTAGACCATTCCAATGACTACTTAAATTGGTTGAATTTACTCTTGATCTACTCAAATCCAATCTCTGTATCATAGGCAGTGCTTGACACCCTTTAAAGGCTGTTACTGTTCTCAGAAAAATTCAAAACTCTTTTAGAGGCCCTCCTAGTCCTGGCTCCTAGTGATACATCAAGCTGTATGTCTGATCATCTTCCCTTCTACACTCTCTATTTGAGCTAACTTGGCCTTAATTTCAAACCCTGTAGTTGATGTATTCTCTCCCATGTATGGGTTTCTGCATGTGTCATTTATTTTAGTTTATTTTCCCTTTCCTTTTTACTTTGTTAAATACTATTTATCCTCCTTCAGATATTGGATTGAATGATACCTCTTTAGAGGTAAAGAAACCCTGACCTTGGTCAGAATTTTGTTACAAGATCTCATACCTAAATTTACCATAAAATTACTTGCTTAATCTTTATATTTTCTTCTGGACTGGAAATTTCATAAAGGCGCATATAATGTTTGTGGTGGCCTAGCAATGTGTCCTGTGCACTGAGTACTGCACACGACACACAGAAGGTACTCAGTGAGTCTGTTCAACAGTGAAAGTGCAACAAACAGGGAGCGTTCAGTATTACCTAAAGAGGGAAGAGTGGAGGCTGGGCATGGTGGCGTGCGACTGTAATCCCAGCACTGGGGAAACTGAGGCAGGAGGATCCTTGTGAGTTCGAGGCCAACCTGGGCTTCAAAGTGAGCTCAAGGCTAGCCTGAACTGCATAGCGAGACAATGCCACAAAAAAAAAAAGGAAGTATGGTGTTTTTTGTGGCTGTTGTTTTGTTTTTATTTATTTACTGAGTGAAAGAGTGAGTTTCCTGAGGGAAGGTCTCACCATGTGGCTCATAAACTCAAATTCTGTGTACTCCATGCTGGCTTTGAACTCATGATGATCCTACCTCAGCTTCCCAAGTGCTGGGATTATAGGTATGTATCACCACGCCCAGCCCTGTTTTGTTGGGCTTCATGATGTAGTCCAGCATGGCTTTGAGCTCACTCTTCAGCCTAGGGTGGCCTCAGACTCAAGATCTTCCTGCCTCAACCCCTTGAGTGTTAGGATTATAAGTATGTGACACCACAGCATGGCTTTTGTTTTATTTTGTTTCATCTTTTTGAGGCAGGGTTTCACTATGTAGTTCAGGCTGGTCTTGAACCCACTTTGTAGCCCAGGCTGGCTAACTCTCAGTGATCCTCTCAAGTGCTGAGACTACAGGTATATGCTACCATGCCCAGCTGAGCCTGGTATTTTTAATGATGGTGGAGAGGTAAATATATAAAATGAAAATGGAGAGGTTAAATGTATGCGAAAAGGGAAAATCAAAGATATAAGATTCAAGAAAAGAAAAGAAATAAAAGAGAAAAAAGGGAGGGCAGGGGAGGGGAGGGGAGGGGAGGGAGAAGCCAGGCATGGTGGTGAACACCTGTAATTCCAGCACTTGGGAGGCTGAGGCAGGAGGAATCACGGTGAGTTTCAGGCCAGCCTGAGCTACACAAAAGAGTTCAAGGTGAGCCTACAGAACATAGTGAGACCCTGCCTCAAAAAAGAGAGAAAAAAAAAGAAAAGAAATAAAAGATTAGATGGAAAGACTAACCATAGGGAGAAAAAAAAGAAAGATAAAAGAATGACTATAAATAGATAAAAATTTGGAAAAGTAAAAAAAAGAAATTTGGTTTTAGGAAGTTTGGAATTTCCAGGTTCAGGGCTTCTACTTTTTACACGTGAAGTAGAAAGGAAGGTAATAAAGAGATGGGGTAGTCTAAGACTATGGAATTTATACACTCATTGTCAATTCAATGTAGAATATATATAAGCATTATTCTTTTTTTGTTTGTTTGTTCTTTTTTGTGGTTTTTGGTTTTTTTCCGGTACCGGGAATCGAACTCATGACCTTGTGCTTGCCAGGCAGGTGCTGTGCTGCTGAGCTAAATCCCCAGCCCCTATATAAGCATTATTCTAAGCAAAGCGTATTAGTGAGGATATAGGGAAAAGTAAGAGTTAATATTCTGTGGAACTTGTCTCTGTGGAACTCATAGTATAATTTTAATTAGGATGACAAAGACAAAATAACTATAACTATGTGACAGAACTATATGATGTATTAACAAAATAGTCATAGAGAGTCAATCGACAAAGACTATTTTTCTTGTTGGAAACAACAAGGTCAGGAGGCCTGGTGATGTAACTCAGTAACAGACTGCCTACATCGCATGTGCAAGGCCCAGGTCTCCATCCTTCTGGAACACCCACAAAACTACGATAAACATGTAATGCCAGAACTACAAACAAATGGCAAGATTTGGCTGGAATTTAGGATGTGTAAGGGAGTAGCAGCATAAAAGGTAAGATTAGAGATTAGGGCTTAATTTTTAAGAAATAGATATATGCTGGGGATGTAGCTAAATGCCTGCCTGGCAAATGCAAGATCATGAGTTTGATTCTTGGTACCAAAAAAAAGAGAGAGAGAAAAAGAAACAGATGTAGAGGTCTTTTAGGAGACTAATATAATGAAAACTGTCCTTCATAAATATTAATCTGGCAGCAATGTACAGGTTAAGAAAAGGAAAAAAATTCAAGAGGTGCTGAAGAGGCAGATATGACAGGACTTAAAGAAAATGACAGTGGGGCTGGGGATTTAGCTCACTGGCACAAGTGCCTGCCTGGCAAGTGCAAGGTCCTGAGTTCAATTCCCAGTACAAAAAAAAAACACACACAAAAAAAAAACCATAAGAAAATGACAGTGTTTAGCCTTTTACAGTATAAAAGAATTGGGACATTATAAATGAAGATAAATTCTGTTCTATTCATTAGAGATTAAGGTGCTTAATATGTTTGTATAAAAGTTCAACAAGAAACTAGAAATGCTGAAGAAGAGGACTGTTGCGAGTTCAAGGCCAGGCTGGGCTACAAAAAAAAAAAGAAATTAGAAATTTAAGTCTAGATCTCAAGAGAAAAAGGTTAAAGATGTCCTCAACCAAAATGCTTATAAGTGAAAGGGCAAAATCCGTGTCTTAGACATCCTTATTTATTTTTCCTGATGCTAAGCACAGTATCTACTATGAAGTACTAAAAAATGTTTGATTAGTTTGAATTTGGGGATTAGTTACATAAATATAATTATTAAGGCAGATGAAAGCATTAGGAGAGATAATATAAAAAATAACAGATGATAAAACTTAAATCCAGCACAATGGATTAGTCAGACAAAGATGGGCTAATTGAAGAGCTAAGGAATAGACAAGAAAAAAGAGCAGGATTAGGGCAGTATAAGCTCAGAGGTTAGGAGATGAAAATGTTAGGAAGAAATCAACAATCAGCATGTCTAATGCATTATGACACAGGTCAAAGCCAGGTATGTGGTGCACACCTGTCATCCCAGCACTCGGAAAGGCTGAGGCAGGAGGATCACCTCAATTTCGAGGCCAACTTGAACTACATAGCAAGACCCTGTCCTAAAAATAAATAAATAAATAAATAAATAAATAAATAAGAAAAGAAACACGTCAAGATGGGTAAGAGCTGAGGGAACCAAATTTGACTCTAAGAAAGCAGTTTCAAGAAAGCAGAACTAACAAGGACTTATGAAAGGTCAAACTGAAAGGTTAGACCATTTGTTTCTTTTTTGTCTTTTTGAGATAGGGTTTCACTATGCAGTTCAGGCTGGTCTGGAACTCTGGACAATCCTCCTGCCTCAGCCTCCTGAATGCTGGGATTACAGGCGTGTACCACCATGCCCAGCCAGATAATTTTAAATGGAGATAAATTCATCTTTTAAAGAACACAAGATTATGGTCTAGGTTATGAAGAGCTTTCCAAAGGGACTCATTATCTTGGACATCTCTTGATTGTTGTGGATCAACATGGTAAAAGAGTTTTAACTTGCTTTAATTTAAGGTCTCAAATTGTTAACATGAGTCTTCAGAATAATAACAGTAACAACTCTACTGTAGGGAAACATTTAGATAAAATTAAGTGCTACTTTAGGAAGGTGATTATTTTTTTGGTGCTAGGGATCAAACACAGCATCTCCACCCTCTAGGGAAGTATTTAAAATACTTGCCTATTTCCACATCAGTGAGACAGTTATCAATCTTCTTAAGTATATTGTCCATCTCATCTATCCTTATCTGAAGTTTCTCCCTCTCGTTCTAAACACAAAAAAATTATAGACTGTCAAATCAAATTACCAAAACAAACAAATGGTTCAAATTGCTGATACAACTGTGTGTCTCAATCATGAACAGACAAAACTTACAATGAAGGTCAAAACTTTAAATCTGTTCTTAAAAACAAAAATAAATTAAAAACAAACAAAAATTTAATTTAATTTAAAAAGCAGATACATAAATCACAAACTAATTTTGTACTATTCTTTAGCATTTCTATATATATTCCATGGAATATAGGATATGTTACTTAAAATTTGTATTTCTCTAAAAGAAGATATTGCATGCAACATTTTCCATATGTATTTTTCAATGGAAATGGAAAATTCTTTTACACAGAGCCTTTCCAAAAACATGATCATTTTGAGAAAGGTCAGTTAAATACATGCACATGTATATTCAGGTAGAAAGGCAATCCTAGTCTTTTTTTTTTTTTCTTTTAGTACTGGGCATTGAGTCTAGGATTTTTGCACTGAGCTACATCTCTACATTCCCAGCTCCCCTACCCACTTTTTTGAGACAATGCCTCACTCAGTTGCTTAGGCAGGGCTTGAACTTGTGATCCTCCTGCCTCAGCCTTGTAAAGTGTTGGGATTATAGCAGTTCACCACCATGCCCAACTAAATCTATAGTCTTTAGCAATAGCACAGGAAATTTTGTGTTTAATTTATATATACATATATATATGTACAGTTTGAGATGAGATAAAAGCCCATAATAGTACTATATTCTAGTTTACTCAAGATGCCAATATTTTGACTATATGAACTTTTTATGAACAACTGTTAAATTTTACTTAAGTCTTATTCACGTATCTCCTAAGGAATATTCTTCATATATCACAACCACTATAAAATAATTTTACTAGTATTTTCTGCGTTATTAATTGTCTCAAATTACCTGAGCTGACTGTACCAGCTTGCTGTACAGAGCCACTTTTCCTTGGTGAGTGAAGACTTTAGTCATCTTGGTAAAACGTGACTTTATCTTGTTAAGGTGAATTCCAAACGTCTTTAGCTATAAAGAAAATTAAAGAGTACACTGAACTAAAACAAACCAATCAGAAACGTAAATGGTGTGAGGACAGTTCAGCTGCCACATGCCAGGCTTTGTCCATTTTAGACTCTGATGCCTAAAGCAGGACACTTCTCATTACCAAATTTAATTCTATAAAACAGTTTAAGAACAAAACTGAAGATGTCAGGAGTCCTCCATCCCATAGTACTGGGGATTAAACCCAGGGGCACTTTATCACTGAGCTATATCCCCAGCCCTTTTTATTTTTTAAGACAGGGTCTGGCTAAATTACTAAATTCCCTATGCTGGCTTCAAACTTGTGATTCTCCTACTTCAGCCTTCAAGAGTGCTAGGGTTATAGG